TAATCTGTAGTCCCTTTGACGAAAGTTATCAAAACCTCCACTCAAACTGAAGAAACATGCCTCAGTAGGCAAACACATAACAAATGCCGGGTTATTTCACTGTCTTCATCTTGAGCAGTAATTAAAGAGCATTTGCTAAGCATTACTCGAAGCTGTTATACTTGGTGTTATATAAAGAAGCTTGCACGGTAGACTTGACCTGGAGTTCTAGAACCTTAAAGCTAATGATCTGTGATCAACAGACTCATCGTTTGTTGAATTCCATGACAACCCCCCTGGACCTAAAGCCAAAGGAATTTACAGCTTTCCAGGGGAACATGATATTTTCTTTGACAGTTTCACATAGCTTTATCCCGGAGCCAGACTGAGAGCTGAGGTTTCATCTTCACTCGCCTTTCCAGGGATCAAGCTCTTTGATGGGAGGAGATCACTGGGAATCCACCCCTAGGCCTGGAGGTGTTAGAGGCAGAAACCAGACATACAAATCCTGCTCACTTTGGGCTGCTGGAAAAATAGCTACCCATCATTACTCCGATCTGCCAATTTCATGTTGCCCGTCTGGCTCCAATGTCAGCACAAATGCTGACTCCTCACCCTCTGTGTGTCTGGGAGATGGGAGGAAAGGAATGGGAAGGTGAAAGGTATGGAGAAAAGCCAGCTAGCCAGTGATGCCTGCCCAGCATGCTAGCAGATCTTGTTAGGCTCCAGACTGGTTTTCAAAAGGTTCTATTGCTGCTTCTGCCTGACACCCAGACACCTACCATTTTTAAGCATTCCCTTCTTATCCTCAATCTTACAAGGTAGAATCTTTGTTTTTCTCACAGCTCCAACATCAACACTCTTTTTGAGCAAAACTTTCACAAGCCATAGATAGTCCTCGCTCCAATGTATCATGGCTAGTTTCTGTCGTCAAAGGGAAACAAAGAAAGGAAACTTTATAGAAATTGGTGCTGTGGAGAGGAAACAGACACAATAAATGATAGCCAGTGTGCACGTTAAGTGACCTAAAGGCTTAGCATCCTGAAAGATTTCTTGAGGTGTCATGCGTAGATTTTTGAGAAGAGGAGGCATTTTCTAATTGGGAGTCCAGAACTGAGAGACTCTCTGAAACAGAATCAAATAGAGCAGTCAGGTTGGCACATGGCAAAATGGGATGAAATATCTAGCCATGTATCTAAAATACCTTCTCAGAATGGAGACATGACTTGTAGAATATACATGAATATGAAGTAATCAGGCACAGCTCACATGTGTTGGAACTCCTCCATCAGGGAATACGGTGTGTTGCTGTTTCTGTTTAGTCACTCAGTCTTTGCGACCCCATGGACTGCAGCTTGCCACGCTCCTCCGTCCATGGGATTTCCCAGGCAACAATACTGGAGTAGGTTGCCATTTCCAACCCAGAGATCAGACTCGTGTCTCCCGCAGTTCTCCTGCACTGCAGGCAGATTCTTTACCACTGAGGCACTTGGGAAGCTGAAGAACTGAAAGATGTTCAGGGTGGCTAGAATGGGGAGGGGGAGGTGGTATAGGTTATTAGTGGCATATTAATGAAAGACATATGCCAGCAAATTTGGAAAACTCTGCAGTGGCCACAGGACTGGAAAAGGTCAGTTTTCATTCTAATCCCAAAGAAAGGCAATGCCAAAGAATGTTCAAACTACCACACAATTGCACTCATCTCACACGCTAGTAAAGTAGTGCTCAAAATTCTCCAAGCCAGGCTTCAACAGTACGTGTACCGAGAACTTCTAGATGTTCAAGCTGGATTTAGAAAAGGCAGAGGAACCAGAGATCAAATTGCCAATATCTGTTGGATGATTGAAAAAGCAGGAGAGTTCCAGAAAAACTTCTGCTTTATTGACTACACCAAAGCCTTTGACTGTGTGGATTATAACAAACTGTGGAAAATTCTTAAAGAGATGGGAATCCCAGACCACCTGACCTGCCTCTTGAGAAATCTGTAAGCAAGCCAGGAAGCAACAGTAGAACTGGACATGGGACAACAGACTGGTTCCAAATAGGAAAAGGAGTACGTCAAGACTGCATATTGTCACCCTGCTTATTTAACTTATATGCAGAGTACATCATGAGAAACACTGGGCAGGATGAAGCACAAGTTGGAATCAAGATTGCTGGGAGAAATATCAATAACCTCAGATATGCAGATGACTCCACCGTTATGGCAGAAAGTGAAGAAGAACTAAAGAGCCTCTTGATGAAAGAGGGTGAGTGAAAAAGTTGGCTTAAAACCAACATTCAGAAAATTAAGATCATGGCATCTGGTCCCATCACTTCATGGCAAATAGATGGGGAAACAATGGAAACAGTGAGAAACTTTATTTTTGGGGGCTCTAAAACCACTGCAGATGGTGACTGTGGCCATGAAATTAAAATACTCTTACTCCTTGGAAGAAAAGCTATGACCAACCTAGACAGCATATTAAAAAACAGAGACATTACTTTGCCAACAAAGGTCCATCTAGTCAAAGCTATGGTTTTTCCAGTAGTCATGTATGGATGTGAGAGTTGGACTATAAAGACAGCTGAGCACTGAAGAATTGATGCTTTTCAACTGTGGTGTTGGAGAAGACTCTAAGGGTCCCTTGGACTGCAAGGAGATCCATCCTAAAGGAAATCAGTCCTAAATATTCATTGGAGGGACTGATGCTGAAGCTGAAACTCCAATACTGTGGCCTTTGATGCGAAGAACTGACTCATTTGAAAAGACCCTGATGCTGGGAAAGATTGAAGGTGGGAGGAGAAGGGGACAACAGAGGATGAAATGGTTGGATGGCATCACCGACTCACTGGACATGAGCTTAAGTAAACTCCGGGAGTTGGTGATGGACAGGGAGGCCTGGCATGCTGCAGTCCATGGGGTCAAAAAGAGTTGGACATGACTGAGCGACTGAACTAAACTGAACTGAAAAAGAGGTAAGCAGGACAAGTTTGTGAAGGGCCTCATAGGTCCTTTTGACGAGTTGAAAGTCATGTAAGGGTTTAAGCAGAGCTATTGGACAAATCAGGGGGCTTCCCTGGTAGCCCAGATGGTGAAAACAACAACAACAACAACAAACCTGCCTGCAACACAGGAGACCCAGGTTTGATCCCTGGATCAGGAAGATCCCCTGGAGAAGGACATGGCAATCCACTCCAGTATTCTTGTCTGGAGAATTCCATGGATAGAGGAGCCTGGTGGGCTACAGTACATGGGGTCACAAAGAGTCGGATTCATGCTCTAGGGAAATCATTCTCATTGAAACGCTGAGAATGGATTAAAAGCAGGCAAAAGTAGAGGCAGAAAGACCAGTTACAGTATCCAAGTGAAGGATGACAGTGGTCTTGAAGACTCGGGGACGTATATGGATTTGGGAGCTATTTAGGAGGGAGAATCGATAGGTCTTGGTGACTGACTAAGGATCTGGGGTGAGGGGAACTATGAAGGAGAGAGAAGAGCTTAGGATGGCTGCCAGATTTTGGCTGAGGCATCAGGCATGAATGGACAACAGCACCACGCCAACAGGCGAGACACTTTAGGGATGATAATAACAAATTCAGGTCTTGGTGGGTTGAGTTAAAAATGTGTTTGGAAAATCTCAGTCAATCCTTTCCTAGGTAGTTGGATATACAGCTCTGAAGATCGGTGTTTTACTTACAGAGTTGGGAGTGATTCATACATGAAAGATAAATGAAGCTGTAGGTACACCAGGGGTGAGGGAATGTTGTCTAGTAAGGAGAGACAGGAGGGCACATGCGTGTTTGAATACTCTGGTCATTTTTGGCAGCTTAGCGTAAATTCATTTAACAACCTTTCCCTAAGAGCTAGAGGGAAGCAGTACGTCACATGGGGCTTAAGGATGACAGAGGGGCAATTGCCAAAGTGGGGAAGAGAAATAACCCTCAGAGTGGCCTTCATTACTAAGCACTTTCCACGTACCAGGCCCTGTGCTGAGAGCTTTGTACACATTGCTCTTCCGAATTTAACTCTTAGAAAAATCTTACAGTAGAATAATCATGATAATAACACAAGCAAAACTTGGAGAGGTTAAGTAACTATATCTAGTGTTGAATACGGTAACTGCTAACTGCACTGGCTATTAAGAACTTGAAATGTGTGACTGAGAGTTTTAAAGTTAATTTAAATTCAATTTTATTTAATTCAAATTAATTTAAAATTAAAAATCTAATACTGAATTCAGTTATTAGGAAACATTTTAGTACGTTAGGAACAACTTGAGTGTGTGAATACACTTTTCCCACTGCAAGTTTTATGAACTCTGAATGCAGATCAAGTATTTCCAATGAAAAACTAGTATCTAAACTGAGATATGCTGTTCGCATAAAGCACAAACTGGATTTCAAAGACTTAGGGTAATGAAAAGAACATAAAATATCTCATTAATAATTTTTTATATTGCTTATGTGTGGAAAGCATATTTCGGATATACTGAGTTAAATAACAGTATTAAAATTAATTTCCCCTGTTTCTTTCTACTTTTTCTTGTCTTCCCTATTCCAAAGTCGTAAATCCTCTGAGAGGTTCGCACAAGATTTCCCCTAAGAGTGCCATGGGGTATATGCTGGGGAAGCAAGGTCACAAGGACTTGATGTTTTAAGGAGCTGAGCTGCAACAGAAGTGGACGCGCACGTGCGTCCCGCCTCAGTTGCACCGAACCTCACCCTGTGCCTGCGACCAGCCGGCTTTCCTGTTTGCCTTTCTGCAGTGTTTTCTCTGAGCCGCGAAGCGCCAGGGGCTGTGATGTCACTGTATAAACACAGGGAAGGGTGGGGGCGTGAGTTGCCCTGGAGAGGACTGGGCCGAGCAGGAGAATGGGGGCGGGGATGGGAGGTTTTCAAAAGGTGGCCGGGGATCTGGAGCGCGTGGGAGCCGCAGGGGGACCGCAGGGCAGATAAAGAAACCTAATGGGACCGCCAGTCGCTAACCCGGGCGGGGACGACGGGGACGGGGCTGCGAGACAAGGGGGTTTGGGAAAAATATGGGACGCCTCGAGCTAATTCCCCTGATTAAAACTGCATTCGTTGGGAGGTGTCAGGGACACGCAGCTGTTTTCAAGGAAAAGTCTGGCTCCGAAAGGCCCTCCCCGGCTGGGCCGCCTGGCGGCTCCATCTCTTGGAGTGGATGTCAGCAGCCCCCGCCCCCCGCCGCCCCCCACCCGGGCCCCGCCGCCGACGCTTGTCCTCTGCCTGACAGGGCCCTGGCCAGTGTCCTGCTGCCGCGGGTCGTGGTAATTTACATCCTCTCTGTGTACATTAACTTATCTGCAGCCGCACTGGCTGCGCTCCTTCAGTCAGCCTGTCTCCTGTGCAGCCTGGGAGACTTCCCCCACCGACGGCCGGGGGCTGCCTGTCGTGGGGCGGGGGGTGGGGAGCCGGGCCCGCCGGGTTCCTGCGCCCTCCGGAGCAATAACAAACGCCTCTGGAGGGGGCGCCCCCGCCGCCTGGTCCCCGACCTGGGACGCGGGCGCGAGGGGCCGGGATGGAAGCGCAACACTTAGCGGCTAATTCAGGCCTCATGACTCACGCGCAGGCTCCTCTTCAGTGACAGCCAGGACAGTTCCTGGTTATTTGTAGCCCCCACCCCCACCCCGCGGCTTTGCTTTGGATGTAATTAAGCAGTCATTTGAGGGTCATTTCATACCCGTTATAAGTTTCCCTGTTTTAATAATGTTTTCAATTCCAGGAGGGAGGGGAGGAGAGGGGCGCAACAGGGAGTGGAAGGGGAGGTTGGGAAGGAGGCGCGGAGGGCAAGAGGGTAATCGTCTCTGAGAACGTGTGCACTTTCCATAACTCTTTCCATGACAGGCCCCAGTGTGGAGGTTCCTCGCATGCCGCCCCCAGAGTTCTGTTTCGCGGCGCGCAGGCCAGATCCTCCTTCCTCCAGGACACAAATGGTCTGCCCCCGAGAAGAGGTCTGGCCGGGCTGGAGTCAGATGTTGGATTTTCTCCTTTCCCCTCTGGCACCACACTAATCATTCTCTTTAATCACTGTAGCTTTTTAATGAGGCCAAGTAGGTATTTATGGAGCCGTCTACTCTAAACGCTAATGCTTGATAAGTCATTTATAACTTATCGGTGGGCTTTGCATGGGCCAAACCCAGAGAGAGGAAGTGAGAGTGAAATAGAGTCTGCAGTTCGCTAGGAAAAAATTGCAACAGTATCTTCAGGTCCTAGATGGTACCAAGCCCTTGGGGGGAAATGTTCAATCCATCCGGCTGTAGGAATAAAGAACAACCAGTCTGTCCCAATTTGGGGGAAACGTCCCTGGCTGTCATTCTTGATTTTCTTCACTTTCTCCTTTGGCTGGTTCCTGTATCTATGGATATTATTTTGAAGCTTCTATCCTAAGGCCAGTTCTACAAAGTTCTTCAGAGGATCCTGGCGCCATTACATTTGGAGGGTGCACAGATGAAAAATGAAAGGACTGGGAAGAAATAAAGGACAGAAACCAGATTTCCTGTCATTGCAAAAGTAGGTGCCACATGCTCCAAATTTCCGTACATGTTAAAGTTAAAGCTGGAATATGTAGCAGCAGCAGGAATGTAGTCGCCTTCAAAAGAGATTAGGAGAGAAAACCCTTTCTAGGGAGGGGGAAGAGGAGTGATGAGGGAGAAAGCAAGACAGGACCCTACAGACACGGAGGAAAAACTGCATCAGTCCATCAACTTATTAGTATTTAACATGCATTAAGGAGGCTTTGTAAAAGTTTTCAGCCATATAAAAAGGACCAAGTACTGATATATACTACAACATGGATGAACCTTGAAAACGTTATGCTAGGATAGAAGCCAGCTAAAAAAAACCACACATTGTATGATTCCATTTATGTAAAATGTCCAGAAAAAGAAAATCTATAGAGACAGGAAGTAAATTAATGGTTGCCTTAAAGAAGGGTGGAGTAGAAAGTGGGAGGGATGAGTATTGATACTTAAGACAGTATAGAGTTTCTCTTTGGGGTGCTGAAAATGTTCTAGAATTGATTGTAGTGGTGGATGAACAACTCGGAATATATTAAAAATCCCTGAATCATAAGCTTTAAATGGGTGAATTATATACTAATAAAGCTATTATTTTAAAAAAAAGGTCCAATTAAAAATTCTCTTTCTGGAGCTTCCCTGGGGGCTGTGACCAGGCAAGAATCTGCTTGCCAATGCAGGAGACACAGGTTCGATCCCTGGTCCAGGATGATCTCATATGCTGCAGAGCGACTAAGTCCATGTGCCACAACTATTGAGGCTGTGCTCTAGAGCCTAGGAGCCGCAACTGTTCAGTCCACGCGCCACTTACTGAGGCCCGCACTCCCTACTGCCTGTGCCGCAGAACAAGAGAAGCCGCTGCAATGAGAAGCCCACACACTGCAACTGAAGGTAGCCTCTGCTTAACTGCAACTAGAGAAAAAATCCACGCAGCAGTGAAGACTCAGCACAACCAAAAAAAAAAGATTATTTTACTAAATGCACTGCTGATCTCTCGATAACAATGGAGCCAGCAGGTACAGTCCATCAGAGCAGGACCTTTGTCTTATTTTCCACTTGGCCCCTAATGCCTGAAACAGTGCTCCTTACTGAAAGTACGGACAAATATTTACTGAAAGAGAATTTGCAAAGTAACCAGACTGGCCTAATTCAGATGTGTGCCACGCTCACCCTACCGTCTCGTCTCTGCATCTTCTATCTAGCTTTCCAGTATACCTATTATTATTGTCATTCTAATACAGCTAGAAACAATAGCTAATACACAAAATTGTATCTGTCTGTGCCAGGCACTATGCATATATTTGTCTTTAATCGTTATAAAACCCAGCAATGTAAACCCACTGAACCTAGGTCTGTCGGGCTCTAGTCTATGATAAACATTGCTTCCTAAAAACACTAACCACAAAGGCAAGGAGGAGCATTGATGAGCAGGCACAGATATTCCGCCAAAGTCACAGATAATAGGAAACCAATTTGGTTTCTATTTAAACTGAAAGAAGTGTCAAGGAGCATCATAAATACATCACCTAATTGATGATGGATTTTATTTAAAATTATTGTGGATTATGTCACCAACCTATGTACTTATCATGTACATAGCCCTGAATGAAGCACTGGGAAGAGCTTTAAAGGAAAAATAGGAGCTTATACTCAGGCCTGCTGTAAAGGCCACCGTTCTTTCTCCTTTTTTAAAGAGTACTCAGTCATTTGTCTGAGTAGTATACAGGAGACTTAGACACCCATAGTCTGAAAAGTCCTAGGAACATTTTTGTGGAACGCGAAGGATAAGGCCCTGAGTTCTGTGAAGAACTGCTTAAATGCTCCCTGAGCATGGTTGGAGAGGAACACAAGTAAGAATATATCTGAACACGGGATTCAAAAGCGACTGTGGTGTCTGCCGTGGACTTGAACCTGCTGCCTGGGTGTCCTTTAAATGTTTACTGTTTCTCAAATCAGTAATCCAGAATTCCACTCCCACATACCACTAAGGCTCCGACTAGCTAACTTATCTCACACATTGTAGCATAGTATGATACCAACTGGAAAAGGACAAAACCTTCTAATCAAAGATTCTCCTGTTTTACTTTAAGAATTTTTCCTCTAAGGTTTATAATATGTAGCCCACATTTTACAGTTGAAAAAACCAAGTTACCTGTGAAACTTCTTACTGAAACTGTCACAAAGATCCATAACACTATCAAGAAAAGATCACCAATAATGGCCAGCAAGAGCTCCTCCCAACTGTTAGGTACCACTCCCATCTAAGTTGATGAGAGGTTATCCTTCTGCTTAATAATGAACAAAACAAAAAACTATCCTTTTTTTTTTTTTTTTGCTAAGTCTGAAAAAAAAAAAAATCTATCAAATTTTCTTAGCTAAGTCCAACCCAGCTCATAAATGTGAGGGAGAAAACATAGTTTCTCTGCTCTCCTTTCTAGAGAGATGGAGATTCTAGAAGTGAAAGTGCAAGCACTTAGGCTAATGCCCTTCAAGAAACTACTCAGGACTTTGGAATGTGCCTAGGTACCAGGTTGATGGAATAGCCATCCATCCCTAAGCATATGTGGTTGTCACCCTCTAGTGGATGATCTATGATAACAGTTGGCAGCCTCCTGTGGGGCACGAGAGCCCCACAAATGTCATCCACAACCGGTCTATCTCCAAGAGGTAGATGACCGATAAGCTTGCAGCAGGACTATTACATCTTTGATGCGTATCTCCCAGGAATGTGAATGGTCACAAGACTGCTTATTTAGTCTGAAGTTCCTTGCTTCTGAGTCCACTGTTTCCTACTGGTATTGTGGCATTTTCGAGAACAATACGTACTCCCTTAAGACAGACTTCTCCTACAATTGAGATAGTTTTAGGCAATTCATTCCGGGACGTTGTTTGCCTCCAGACTGGCCTTGAGAGCTCTTTCAGCGTGCTGGCTGGCCTGCTGAGGATGCCCAACTATTTAGCTGGTAACATGGAGCTTGCCAATTAAGTGCCACTCCCGAGCTGAAATATCTGATCTGCTTAGGGAAGCTGTGGATCCATAAATATTGCCTCGATATTTCCTATTGTATAAGGAGCCTAAATGTTGGGGCCTGAATATAACACTCTAAAAATGAAGTATGAGATGCAGAGATAAAGAACAGACTTATGGACATGGGCCGGGGGGAGGAAGGAGAGGGTGAGACGAGTGGGGGGAGTAGCATGGAAACACATACACTAGCATAAATAAAATAGATAGCCAATGGAAATTTGCTGATGACTCTGGGGACTCTGAGGCTCTGTAACAACCTAGAGGGGTTGGAAAAGGGTGGGAGATGGGAGGGAGGTTCAAGAGGAAGGCGACACATGTATGCCTATGGCTAATTCATGTTAATGTATGGCAGAAATGAAACCAATGTTGTAAAGCAATTATCCTTCAACTAAAACCACACTTTAAAAAATGAAGTACGGCTTTGAATGTATTCATATAAAATATAATAGCATGATTTTCCTGCTTCCATCTTCTCAGGTACCTGAAGAGTTGCACTTTTAAATCTGGATGGGAATTGGATTTCTATGTCGTGGACAGTTTCTAGGAGGGAAGGATGACAGGTACAGGAAATTCTCTACATTCTCAAAACCCTACATTGTTGGTGATTGCATTTGCTTGCAAAGGAGAGGAGTAGAATATTTCAAGTTGAGGATAACCTTGGTTCTCAATCTGAATGTCAAATAACAAGAGTATTGTAGAAATCATGCCCCTCCTCTCATCTTACCCACTTGATAGATGAGGAAACTGAGGTTTGGCCAGGCTAGGTAATGTTAGCTAGTTACAAAGCTGATAGCCCACAAGAGAGCCCTTCCCACCATCCAGGCTCCTGCTCTTCCCCTTATATCACTGTCATCTCTCAGGTAGAATTTTCTTACTGCTTGTGAGGAAATCAGTTTCTCAGCCTTGTTTGTAGTATTGTTTGGTTAGAAAGTATTTTTTATGGTAGCAAAATATATATAATGCAAAATTTACCATTTTAACCATTTTTAAGCAC